TCTTTCTTTCTTTCTTTCTTTCTTTCTTTCTTTCTTTCTTTCTTTCTGTCTTTCTGTCTTTCTGTCTTTCTGTCTTTCTGTCTTTCTGTCTAACTGTTTATCATCTCTCTGTCTCTCCCTCTCCCTATCTCGCTCTTTATCCATCCATCCATCCATCCATCCATCCATCCATCCATCCATCCATCCATGTCTGTCTGTCTTTCTGTCTGTCTGTCTATCTATCTATCTATCTATCTATCTATCTATCTATCTATCTATCTATCTATCTGTCTATCCCTCCTTCTCTCTCTCTCTCTTTCCCTCCTTCCATTGTGTGTGAGTCTCCATGGGTTGTGAAGGAGCTTAACAAACAAGAGCCACCTCTACAATTTCGATTCTTTATTTCCTCTCAGAATAACAGGCCAGCCCTGCCCACATAACCAGTTTTAATTGATTGATCTGCTGCTTGAAAATTGCAGCCCTTCTTCTTGTCCTCAGCACCTGTATTTCTTGTATTCCAGGTTGGGCTCAGCCTTAGCCAAGAGCAAAGTGGATGTGACCCTGTTTGATGTTTCCAAGCCCACCCAAGAGATGCCCAAAGGTGTGAAATTTGTGCAGGGTGACATCTGTGTGATCCGTGAAGTGGAAGAGGCACTCCAGGGTATGTCTTGTGTCTTCCATATTGCTTCCTATGGAATGTCTGGCCGGGACCAGCTCAACCCAAGGCGTATAGAAGAGGTGAACGTCAAAGGAACCAACAACATCATTGAATCTTGCAGGAAAGTTGGAATCTCCATACTTATATACACCAGCACGTACAATGTAGTCTTTGGAGGTCAAGTCATAGAAAACGGAGATGAATCTTGGCCTTATCTACCCCTCCATCTTCACCCTGACCATTACTCAAGGACCAAAGCTTTGGCTGAAATGAAAGTTCTGGAGGCCAATGGGACAGTCCTAAGGGATGGTCAGGGAATTTTGAGGACCTGTGCCATAAGACCTGCTGGCATTTATGGACCAGGAGAGCAGAGGCATCTTCCAAGGATTGTCAACTACATTGAGCAGGGGTGGTTCCGCTGCATGTACGGGGATCCTAACAGCCTGGTGGACTTTGTGCATGTAGACAACTTGGTGCAAGCTCATATTTTAGCAGCAGAGGCTCTGGGTGCCACCAAAAACCATGTGGCTGCTGGCCAAGCCTATTTCATTTCTGATGGGAGGCCAGTCAATAATTTTGAATTCTTCCGTCCTTTGGTGGAAGGTTTAGGATACACCTACCCTTCTCTCCGCCTCCCTCTGCCACTCGTTTACTTCTTTGCATTTGTTATAGAATTGATCCATGTTGCAGTGAGGCGCCTGTATAACTTTCAGCCCCTCCTCACTCGCACTGAAGTTTACAAAACTGGCGTGACCCATTTTTTCAGCTTAGCCAAAGCTAGAAGGGAGCTGGACTACAAACCTCAGCCTTACAGCCTGGGCGAAGTGGTGAGGTGGTTCCGAGCCCATGGTCACGGCCGGAAGTTTAGCAAGTCCTCTGAAAAACACTCCCTCAGAAATGGCGCTCTGGTCTTCCTTGCGGCAGCAATGGTCCTTTTGTGGTTGCTGACATTTTCTTGGAGCTCCTTTTGAAGCTCCTCAAATAAGAAAACACGGCAAGCGGTGCAGCGGCCTCGAGGTGGAGCTCTCGCCTCACACTCAGGAGGCTGTGAGTTCAATCCTAGGCAGCGGCGGAGGTTTAGGAGTAATTGTAAAAGCTCCAAACTCCGTGTAGGTATCAGGAAGGGCATCCAACCAGAGGTGGTATTCACCAGGTTCTGACCAGTTCTGGAGAACTGGTAGCGGAAATTTGGAGTAGTTCAGAGAACTGGCCAATCCCGCCTCTGACTGGCCTCACATCCATCTATTCTCCGCCTCCTGAGTCCCAGCTGATTGGCTGGGTCTTCTTTGGTTGCCCTGCACAGGAGAACGGAGCTGGAAGGCAGGTTGGTGGGGTGGAGAGGAAATAGGGATTTTACAGTGTCCTTTCCCTGCAATGCCCACCAAGCCATGCCCACCAAGCACCGCACCGCCCTACCCACCGAACCGGTAGTCAAAACATTTGAACCCCACCACTGGGTTACAGGGTCATTAAAAGAAAAAGAAAAATACAACACAGGGTTTCTTTGTTGCTCCAGGTGGAAAGAAATTAGAAGCAAGGTTACCCAAGTTCACCTTTTCCCTTTCCCAATGGGGTTCCTTTCATGCGCCATCAAATTCCCCCTTTGCTTTTCTGTAGTTCAGTAACATCTCTGATGTAATGGGATGAATATGGGATTCAACTGGCGGAACCCAGAAGAAGGGCCTTCTCCAGGGTGGCTCTGTTCCTTGGGAACATCATCCCTACAGAGATTAGATTGGCCTCCATTTTCACACCCTTTCGCAAGGCCCTGAAGACCTGGTTCTGCCAACAGGTCTGGGGAACCCAGAGCAGGATGGAGCCCATCACGTGGCTCATTTGACTGTGGTTGCCAGAGAGGTAGAAGCATTATTGTTATCTATCTATCTATCTATCTATCTTCTATCTATCTATCTATCTATCTACCTACCTACCTACCTATCTTCTATCTATCTACTATCTATACATAAAAGTGAAAGACCATTCAAGCATCATCACAAAATCTCCAGAATCATAAAGCCTACCAACTTGAAATTTGGCACTTATGTTCCTCTTGGCTTCTAGGTGCTCACTAAGAAAGCATTTTTCGAAATGACCATCAGAGCATTAGGATTTCCTATATTATTATTATTATTATTATTATTATTATTATTATTATTATTATTATTATTATTATTATTATTATTATTAACATGCTCTGATGCTAAGGAGTTCTACTTCCCCTCCCCACCTGAAAAAAAAATCTCTTCCAAAGGCAAAATACAAGCAGAGGAGAGGAGTTTCAGTTTTAGTTTCACAGCACCAAGCACCTTTAGTACAGAACAGTTGAGCTAAGCCACGCCCAGGCTCCTTGCTGTCTCCTTGCTCACACAGCAAATACTGTTTCAGTTTCCAAACAGCCCTCAACTCCCTCACACATTGACAGGACGCTAACCAGATGAATACCAATGGATACTGGTAGGCAGGGGCAGAGTTTTTTCCCCTTATTTTCCTTCCCCCCAAAACTAACCCCGACCATATAGTTTTGCAGTGAAGTATGGCTATAGAGCTAGTTCATTTATATTTGGGTTTTATATTGTTTTTAAGCCACTCAGAGTCAGTGAGATTAAGTGGTGGCTGTATAAATCTTTAAATAAATAAATATGTGAATAAATAACTGTGAGAATAACCTTGGGAGCCGGTGTTTGGGGACCCTTGGCCTAGATAATCATCAAACATGGGAGTAGACGAAGCAGTTCGGAAGGGAGGTTCCCTTGTTCTTGGAGACATAAAGGTGTGGGAAGGCCCTTCAGCCATGCAAGATTCTGTTATTGTAACTACAATAAAAGTGGAGTTCGTGTTTGTGGTTTGGGTTTTGTGTCTGAACTACCTCGAAGGGCTGACTTCTATTGTCCTTGAACCCTTTTTTCAGGAAAAGTCCAGATTAGGAGTTTGTTGCTATTTAGTGAATAAATCACCTCCTTCTTTGTGAACACTGGCACAAGATGGATGGGTGTTCCTTTCATCATTCAGCCACTCAACTCACAACGGCTGAGTTTCTTCCTGGAACCATTCTTGCAAAATACATTTTCAGACCTATAGCACACAAACAGGAAGGCTCTGGGCTTGCTTGGTTTGGTCACCACACTATAAAGGAAGAGTGTGGAGGAGAGCAATAAAGATGATTCAGGGCTTTGGAGGCTAAAACATATGAAGAACGAGGCATGTGAAGAGAAGGTTCAGGGGTGACATGATAGCAGTCTTCCAATATTTGGGGCACTGTCCCAGAGAGGAAGGGGGTCAAGCTATTCTCCAAAGCACCTGAAGGCCAGACAAGTAATAATGGATAGAAATTCATTAATGAGAGATTCAACCTAGAAATAAGGAGAAATTTTCTGACAGTCAGAACAATCAACCGATGAAAAAGCTTTTCTTCAGAAGTTGTGGGACATCCCTGGAAACTCAAGAAAAGACTGGATTGCCACCTGTCAAAAGACTGGACTGCCATCAATCTGCTGCTTGGACAGAGTGGTGGTGTTGGACTAGATGACCTATAAGGTCCTTCCAACTCTCTTATTCGGTTATGTTTTCTTGCAAATGTTTCATTATCCAAACTAGGCAACAAGTTTTGGGTCATGCAACATCTGCAAGACAACAAGCAAGCTCAGAGAACACCAAGGATCGAGCACCAAGTTTTCAACCCTGAGCTACAAATATTCCCCTTTGTCACATGAAAGCCCTAGTAAACCATGGCTTCGTTTCTCTGTGGTCTTCAGAGAAGATTTCCTTTCCAAGATCTTGAGAAAATCAAGGGGAGAAAGATCAAAGGAACAAGAAACCGCAGACAGAGCTAGAGGGGTGGGAGAGAGAGATGAAAAGTGTGTTCGCCCTAGCATGGAAAGGTCTAGAGTGACATCTACTGCTTTAAAGTTGAATCAACTTTTCGAACACGTTTTCTAAAAGCATATAATGTCAGCTTTCCTTTCATTAATAGTGGGCTTATCTCCAATGGGTGCTTTTCCTTTAGAGCTTTGGTTGTAAAAATATGAAGATTGTGTCGACTTGAGCTCAACTCTTGGTGACAGGAGACACGCCACCAAATTTCGTTGGCTGAAGTTCAGAATGGCTTTGGCACTGCTGTCTTTCAAAAAGTCCTTCGACCTCCTTGTCAAAAGCTGTAGAATCCCCATGTCTCTTCCCTGTACATTGAACCTCTGAAGCTATATGTATATACAGTATAATTGAGAAGCACTTCAAAAAGCTACCCACTCTGTCCTTCCTCGTAGCAGACTTTGGGATTGTATTTGGTATAAAGCTGATTTTAGACAGGTTCTAACCTCTGTCCCCCAAGGTCATTCTCACAGACCATTATAGTACATGACAGTGAAGAAAAAGGACAGATCTTGTGGGATACAAGGTGTTAGGAATAACATAGGTTACCTAATGTAGTTTGGGTAAAATAATATATATAAACTATGATTGTATGTTTAAGTGTGTGTCATTTTAAAACTGCAAAGCATGTAATTTTGGGTGTGGTGTTGAACCACCATAAGAGGGAGCAAGAGAACCTGATTGATTGCTGACGATTTGCTGGCAATTACTGACAATTACTGGATTGCATGGTTTGTTAGCTGCATTTTTCCCTCTACTGCTGAGTTTGCTGAAGGAAGAGAGGAGTTTTTGAGTTCTTCATATCTCTCTACTGCGAGGAGATATATCACCGGACTGACATTTGTAAGTTTACTGACCTCTCTTTTTTGACACTGGAATTTGCAACTGAATAATCCCTGGATGGACTGAACTAGTGAATGATATATGGACTGTTTTGACTATGATATAAATCTTACTGGAATAAACTATTTAATTAGCACTGTGTATCTGTTTTACTGAGTGTAAACTACAAAAACGTTTATCTCACATATTTTGCCTGCCTGCCTGACTGCCCTGCAGATCCTGCTAGGGTGTATCCCTAACACAAGGATTCCCCAAAGGGAATGACACTTTGCAAAACAAAGAAAGGCTACACTGATAGCAGTTACACAAGTTAGAATTTGGGGTGAAACCATGACAATGCAAAGACCAAAGGCACGATTGGCCCCAATTTTAAAGCTTTCTCTTTGATCCTTTCTTTCCTTGCCAAGAAAAACTGATGCCTATCCCTGGGGAATTCCCAGGAATGTAGTTCAACTTGAGAAGGCTTTTATGTTTTACCTTTCCTTCTGTTTGGGACTT